CAGCCTGGCTTGATGCGGTGGCCGGCTGGCTCGCGCGACACACGCATCCACGGCGCTCGGTCGTCCGCTAAGATCGGGGACCTGACCAACGCGCGCACAGGCAGCGGCGATGCCTCGGCGACCTGCGGCGGCAACATCCTGGGCAGGAGGTTCCGACTGCGCGCGGCGTAGCCCAACGCCGAGCCAGGGGGGCACTTGGTGCAGGTGGGGACCGAAGGCGCTGCCGAGGAGCCCTGGGCAGGCCCCAGCTACCTCTGGCCCAGCACCTCGGGGTCATGTTCCACTCCCCCATCGCAATCCAGTCGAGGCCCTCGGCATTAACGTGGCTGACGTAGGAGGCCAGGACCTGGGGGAGGCGCTGGTTCTGGGGGTTCATCCCGACGCTGGTGACGAAGCGCGCGGAGATGATCGCGACCCCCCCAGGCGGCCCCCAATGCGCATGTGCCGCAGCAAGCCGCCCTGCGCTGATCGCGCCCCGCTTGCCCTCGCACCGCCCATCGGACGGCGCGGGGCCAGCAGCGACCGCAATGTGGGCGGGGGCCAGGATGGCAGCGCCCCCTGGGGCGCCGCCTTGCCCCGCGGGGGCCGCACGGGCAATCGCCCCATGGAAGCCGAGGTCTCAAAGATCGCGTTCAGCTCGAGGGACCTCCGACTCCGGGACGTGATGCCCCTGGGCTGCTACAGCCTTGCAGCCGTCGCCCAGCAGCTGGAGGTAGGCCTTCAGCGGCCCGCAGTTGTCGCCATTGGCCGTGGCGAAGTAGCCTTTCGCAGGCGCGGGCGCCGTGGGGCGCTCCGAAGTCCCAGGCGTCCTGGCCACGCCGCCGCCCTTCACCCTCTGGCGACGGGGCCTGGCCTCCCCGCTGGTCGCGGGGACGCGCCGAAGTCCCGGGCGCCCTAGCAGGCGCGTGTGCGTAGTTGGGGGGGATTCGCACCAGTGCCATCAGCCTGGTCATCATGAACAGCACTGCCGCGTTTCCATACGGGCGCTCAGCTAGATAGTTGCTGGCTACCAGTCCCAACATCCGCAGGATCCTCTGCTGGCGGCAGGGGCCCGCCGCATAGCCTCGCACCCCTCCGAAGCGAACTCGAAGAATGCGAGGCCACCGCTGGAGCAGGGCAGCGCGGGGCGGGGGCTGCATCGGCCAACGGTGGAGCTGCGCTGCGCCCCCGTCCCTGGGGGGGCAGCATCGGCCAACGGGGCGGCTCCGAGCCCCGCGCCCCTCCCATGCGAAGTCGCAGGGGAAATGGGGTCGCCGGCGACGCAGCCCAAGTGGAACTCCCAGCCCATGAGGAAGAAAGCGCAGAGTGCGGTGTGTGCGCATCGCCGCCGCCGCGGGGCACAAGCCCCACGCCGCCCCCTCCCGCCGCGACGCGGTCGGTGGGGGGATCGCCCCGAGCATCTCGACCGAGACCCCCAGCCGGGGCATCTGCTGCGCCAGCTCGGGCTCCTTGGGCGCGCCCCCAGCGGAGACCGCCAAGTGCTCGAGCTCGGCCTGCAGGGCGACGACGGTCCGCCGCTGGGACACCAAGGCGGCTTCCTTGGCGTCTCGCTCCGCCGTGAGCATGGCGATGCGCGCCGTCTGCGCCTCGACAGCTTTGGGCGCCCGATCCAGCTGGGACTGGGCGTTGGCGACCTGCGTGGCGGGGCCCTTGACCCTCTCCACGTGCGGCTTGGCGGCGAGGGGCAGGCTGGCGCGCTTCCCCCGCGCCGCTCGCATCTCCTCGATGGCGCGCGTCCAAGTGGCCGAGGGGGCGAGCTTCGCATTGGCGACCGTCTGCTCGATCTGCTCGTCGAGGACCTTGATGCGCGCCCTCATGTCGCCATCCGAGAGCTCCGCGCCGTCGTCGTCGACCTGCGCGCTGCCAGCGTCGCCCGCCGCAGGCGCAGGTGGCGGGGCGCCTCTGCCGCGCTGCGCCGCGCGGAGCTGCTTGACGTCCGCCTGGAGGCTCTGGAGCAACTTCTGCGTGCGCTCTGCCTGCCTAGGCGGCCCCTCGCCCCCATCCCCCCCACCCTTGCGGGCCGAGAAGGAAGGGGGGGCAGGCGGGGGCGGGCCCCCGTAGCACGACCCTTTGGCCTGCCCACACTTCCCGCACTGCTGCGTCGCCGCGCCGTTCCACCATTTGGCGCCGCTGACGGGGTGGACGCGCGACCTGCGCAGCCACTCGACAGCCGCCCCGCGCCGCTGGGCGCGCCCCATGCCGTCGCGACGCCGATGGGCCGCCAGGGGGCCCCTTTGGCACTGGCTGAGACACTTGTCGGGCGCAAGCGCCCCGGCACTGCCGCGGAATAGCGGCATCCGCGAATGCTCGGGAAGGCTCCGCCCGCCAAAGCATAACCTTGAGCCAACACTTCTACGGAGGAGGAGGACGAATAGAAGGGGGAGGAGTGCCTGAGGAGGGTAGACGGGGCGCAGTGCGGAAGTTTCCCATACTTTCTTTCTGTTCGATCCCCACGTTGTAGCATCGCTGGCACTTGCCAGCGTGGTCGAGGGGGCATTTGGGGGGCCTTCTGGAGCCGCTTGGGAGTTTCTTGGGGGCCTCTCGAGAGCCTTTTGGGTTCCTCATGGGACTTCAAAGGGGCCACTTGGCGCCTCCTGGTGGTTTCTTAGGGCCGAGGGCTCGAAGTGTTGTTTCGTGTTCCCCCTCTTGGGCTTCTCTTCGAGCGTTCTTGGAGCCCTCTTGGGTCGTCTTGGAGGCCTCTTGGGCAGTCTTGGAACCCTCTTGGGCCGTCCTGGGCCCCTCTCGGAGGCCCCTCGGGCCTCGGAGGGCGACCATGGGGGACTCTTGGGTCGCATTGGGGCGTCGCGATGCCGAAAACGTGGGGGCGCCAGTTATCTCGAAAACCTTTTTGGGTGCCTCCTTGGGCTCAAAGGGGCCTCTTGGCGCCTCTTGGGGTCTTCTTAGGACCGAGGGCTCGTAATGATGTGTCGCGTTTCCCCTCTGGGGCTTCTCTTGGTGCATTTTTGATGCCCTCTTGGGCCGTCTTGGAGGCCTCTTGGGCAGTCTTGGAACTCTCTTGGGCCGTCCTGGGTCCTTGTCGGAGGCCCATCGGGCCTTTTAGGGCGATATTATGGCCTCTTCGGCCGCCTTGGGGCGTCGCGATGCCGAAGAGGTGGGGGCGCCCAGATCTTCCCAACATCTTCGCAAACAAAAATAATACATGTTGCCTCTTGGGGCTCTTTTGGGAGCGTTCTTGAAAGCCTCGCGGGGCGTCTGGGGGCTATCTCGGGGGCCTTCGGGGGCTCAAAGGAGCGTTTGTTGCTCCTCCAGGGGGCTTCTTAGGGCCGAGGGCTCGCACTTTTTTTGTCGTGCTCCCCCTTTCAATGGGCTTCTCTTAGAGCGTTTTTGGAGCCCTCTTGGGTTGTCTTGGGGGCATCTTGGGCAGTCTTGAGGCCCTCTTGGGCCGTCCTGGGCCCCTTTCGCCCCTGGTGCCTCTGAGGGCGATTTTGGGGGCCTCTTGGGCCGTCTTGGGGCGCCGCGATGCCGAAATGGTGGGGGCGCCCAAGTCTCCCCAACACTTCAAGAAAAGCAATGATGTTTGTCTCTTGGGGTCCTCTTGGGAGTGCTCTTGAAAGCCTCGCGGGGCGTCTGGGGGCTATATCGGGGCCTTTCGGGGGCCTCCTGGGGTTTGAAAGGGGCCTCTTGGCGCCTCCACGGGGCTTCTTAGGGCCGAGGGCTCGAAAGTTTGTTTCGTGTTCCCCCCTCTGGGGCTTCTCTTAGAGCGTTCTTGGAACCCTCTTGGGTCGTCTTGGAGGCCTCTTGAGCAGTCTTGAGGCCCTCTTGGGCCGTCCTGGGTCCCTGTCGGAGGCCGTGCCTCTGAGGGCGATTTTGGGGGCCTCTTGGGCCGCCTTGGGGCGCCGCGATGCCGAAAAGGTGGGGACGCTCAAATCTCCCCAACACCTAGGGAAAACAATGATGTTTGCCTCCTAGGCCCTCTTGGGAGTCTCTTGGGACTCCTTGGCGGCGTCTTGGGGGCCCCCAGGGACTGTTGGGGGGCGCTTGGAGGCCTCTTTGGGCGGGAGCGGGGGTAGTCGATTCCGGCTCCCACCATCGGAAGCCACGATCCTCGTGAGGGGTGTCGAAAAATTGCCCTCCCCTGGAGTGCTCTGGTGACTCCTCCCGTCTCTACCGGGGTACTTTTCTTCCAGGGACTCCCAGGGGCCGCCCCGCGCGCGCGAATTATTGTAAAGCAGTTGCCGGAGATCTTGGCACGCCTCTGGCCCGTTGGGCCGGCGAATTATCATCATCACAATCGTCACCACCATCATCATCAGCAGCAGCATCAACATCATCATCAGCATCAGCATTAGCATCATCATCATCATCATCATCATCATCATCATCATCATCATCATCATCATCATCATCATTATCATCATCATCAGCATCAGCATCAGCATCAGCATCAGCATCAGCATCTTCATCATCTTCATCATCTTCATCACCATCGTTCTCGTCATCGTCATCGTCATCGTAGTCGAGCGTGTGAGTTTGAGTGAGGAGAGAGACAGAAGAGGAAGGTGTCGGTGAGGGCTCGACACGGTCGGAGCAACAACAAGAACCCCATCCTTAGGATATGGGAGATACAGCACCCGATGTCGGGTACTCCGAGACACTCCACTCAGTGCCTGCGGCATGTTGGCGGACACAGCGTCCGTGCTAAAATACGGGCAGCGCTGTGGACTGTGGCCGGGGCACTTTGTCTACTGCGTTTGCCGCGGTCTTCTCTCCCTATCCTCGGTTCCCAATAACATGTGCTTGCATATGACTTCTGGTGTTGGCCTCGAGTCAGGCTATCATCGCAACTTCCGTCGCCCCCTCGTTGCCGCCGGCGTCTGGTTCTTGGCCCTTGCCCGCAAGCAGCGGCCGGGCGTGGGCCGCCAGTCTGGGAAGCCCGCGCGCCAGGGCGACCTTTGGCTCAAGCAACTCTGGCCGCTCGGCGCTGGCCCTTGCCAGCCAGGTCACAAGCCCCGTGGCCCCGCCGCCGCCCACAGCCGGCCATGCCCCGTCTGCAGCTCGCCGCAGCCCTGCTGCTGCTCTGCGGCTCCCTGACGGCTCCGCGAGCCCAGGACCGAGGGCATGCCGCCCGCTCCACTACCCCCTCCAGGCCCTATGCATTAGCTATGGATGTCGCCCGCCCTCCTCCGCTGCGAAGTTGCCATTCAGGTGGGGACTGAGAAGCATTTGTTTGCGATGACGAGCTGTGGAGGAACCTGGTATCTATGTATGTCCACAGGGCCATCCGAGGCGCCCCTGCGCACCCGCCGTTCCCTACGTGGGACGTCCGCGGTGCGACATCGGCGCCTGTCCTGCCCTGTTCTCCTCCGTCGCATCGTCATTGCCGGAGCTCCCCGCTTCAGGAGATGCAGCAGCCCCTGCTCGTCGACGACGAGTGCGCCGCCGGCGACGCCGTTGGCGACGAGGCGTGCGGCGTGAAGTTGCTGCAGACGAGCGCCAGCAAGCAGGACGCCGAAGGAGGAGGAGGAGGAAGGAGGAAGGAGAAAGGATGAAGGAGGAAGGGGGAAGGAGGAAGGAGCAAGGAGGAAGGAGGAAGGAGGAAGGAGGCAGGAGGAAGGAGGAAAGAGGAAGGAGGAAGGAGGACGAGGAAAGGAAGAGGAGGAGGACCAGTGTGAACCCAAGACTCATCAACGATGTTTGAATCAACCCTCCCTCTAAGCTCCCTCTTCACAGGTCCCTACAATTGGGAGAACCGTTTGAAGACCCTGAAACATGCCAAAACACCATTCTCGGGACTCCAACGCCACATATCAACCTGATTGTTGCGTCTTGACGATCTTGAGTCTTGCCGAGCACCATTTCTGGGACTACAGCGCCGCGCACGAATGTGCGCGGCGCTGAGGCGAGAGTCACATTTTGAAAACTACCCGCCCTCCATCCGTAACTCTGTCAAGCTTTCGAGACGAATGTGCGCGGCGCGACGGCGAGAGCCAAATTTTGAAAACCGCCCGCCCTCAATCCATGAAATCCTTACACTTTGTCATGACGAGTGTGCGCGGCGCTAAGGCGACAGCCACAGGTTGAAAGCGGTCCACCCTCCACTTGTGAAGCTGTTGTCAATGTTTACGCATGAGGGTCATGAGTGGTGCTGACGTCTCAGGCGAAATGCCCGGCCCGCCCTTTCGACCAGCCTCTGCGACAGGGAAGAATTATCTATAAGTAAAGGAGTGGAGGAGGAGGAGGAGGAGGAAAAGGAAGGAAGGAGGAAGGAGGAAGAAGGAAGTAGGAAGGAGGAAGGATGAATGAGGAGGGAGGAGAGGATGAGGAGGAAGAGGAAGGAGGAAGGAGGACGGAGAAAGGAGGAAGGAGGAAGGAGGAGGGAGGAGGGAGGAAGGAGGACGGAGGAGGAAGGATGGAGGTGATGATGATGCGACGCGCGGCTTCGCATCGTGCGTGCTGGAACAGTGCGGCTAGCCGGTGGGTGGCGCACAGGACCACACGAGGATCCGCCTTTTACGCCACCACCGGCTTAGCCCCCACAGGTGAAAAAGTCGGGATCCCGAACCCCTGTGGGATCCCCGTACATCGAGCCTCGGAGTTCGCCTCCTGCGCTCCAAGGAGCTCGACGCGCGTGCTCCTGCCTGGCGCGCTCCGCGCGGCGGGCCTTGGCAGCAGCACGGTTAGCCTCGATGCGGGCACGCTGGGCCTCGCTCCAGACGGGGGGAAGAGGAGGAGGAGGGACGACAGACGACGTCAACGACGTCGGAGGAACAGGAAAGGAGGACGGAGGTGGAGGGTCAAAATGACCAGTGCCTATGACGGCAGCCGCCTCGGCCTCGGCAGCATCGTCTGAAGCAGCAGTCTGGGACGATATGTATCGTTGTTCGTCGTTGGCTTCGACCTCGGACACATGATCCTTACTCGGTGTTGACATTGCTTCCTGATGAAACCTGTGTCGCTCAGGATCTGCGCGGCGCTTGCCCCGACTGGGGCGGGCTCCACAATCAGAGGGAATGCGAAATCTACTATCAACATAACTGGACCACGGAACATAGAAATCCAACAAGGTCTGGAGCGCGGCTGGCGGTTCCGACTCGAAAACCAGGTCGGCGACGTCCGACACAACAAACTGGGCGACCGAACCGAGGATCGACCGAGCAAGGGCCTCGCAAAGGCCCACACGGTACACTTTCTTGCCTGCCGTGCGGAAGTTATAGTCCTCTGGGCGTTTGCCGTGGAGAGTGAGATGAGCACCTCTGCCATGACTGCATCGACCGTTGCCTGCCGTGCTGTTGAGTAGGCGTGGAAGATTTGGCATTCGAAGCCCCAGAATGCGCGTAGGCGCACGGCCTATCTCATCTAGAGGCGTGTCAGTCGGCCAGTGTTCGCACTGGTCGAAAACTGTAACCGTAGAGAAAGGGGAAGAGGCGAGAGCGACGAGGGGACTCCAACGGAAGGAGGTCGGGGCGGAAGGAATCCAGGTCGCGGGCACTGGGTGCTCAAGCCACCCAAACGTACTCGCTTTTATGTGGTCGGCCAAGAGAGAGACTATGGCGTGCAACACTCGGGAGCCTATTTCCAGCTGTTGGGCTTGGCGGCGCGAGCATTGCGGCACACCACTCACGCGTTGATTCGTGCGTAGGGGGGGGGCCCTTCATACCGGCGAGCCGCAGACCAGGTCTCGCATGGGGGGCCCCCCGGTGTTAAAGACCCGTCTAGCACGCACGTGGCCAGCCCATGTTTCCAAGGCGTCCTTGCGAGCGAGGTCGCCTCGAGCAGAATCGATGGCAATATCATTTGAAAGGCAGTAAAGGGAAAAACGAGGGTCAACTGCTTCGCGTTCGAGATTCCATTGGACATCGCCCGCGCGCCTCATTTCCACAAGAAATAGCTTGAGACGCAGATTTCGGGGCGCTGAATGCGAGCAGGGATGGGTGTCGAGGCCTCCCGTTCGTATTCCTGGGGCCGAGAAGGCCAGGAGCGGTCCTCGAATTCGAAGGGGTCCGAACCAGGAGCGGGCTCCCTGTTCGGTCCTACAAGGGCCGGGTGCAGACATGAGCGGCCTCTGGACTAAAAACATAGTCCGGTTCGATAAGAATCTGGCGGGCGTCATTGTCACTTAGTTGATCGACGACTTCGGTCTCGGACTCCGACTCGATACGAGCGAGGGGAACACGATGGGCGGGGGCGTTTGGTCGCCATCTGCCCAGTCCTGCAAATCTTTGCTGAATTGATCTGGCAGCTGCTGCAGCATGCAACCTTGCGATCATGTCCTGTTTCCTGATAGCTGCATCCGGGTCGGAACTGCAGTCGCTGCCACTGGCCACGCATGGCAATGCGCAGCGCGGCGAGTCCTTCGCCAGGTGCTCGGCGACCGAGGCGCGCCCTGCAAAGCGCGTGCTGCAATGATCACATGCTGTGGTGTCCCCGAGGATGCCCCGTATTGCGCGTGCGAACGATCGGTGGTTGCGTGCGCTATGCTGTCGGAGTCTTCTAATTTGCGTGAAGGTCATGGCGCACCACATGCAAGTGCACGGGTCCTGCGGCTGATCCTGTCGTCGCAGGGGGCGCGCAGGGTCAGCGATGGCCGAGGGGGCGCCGGCCGAGTATAACACGCAAAAGCATAGCGGGCCTCGGCGCCCCGCGCGAGAGCGACCCTTCTATCGTAGTGCGCCTGCTTGCGAACCGCCTCGGAGATTATGGATTTCCATGACTTCCCTCTTCTCCTCGCGTAGAATTCCCAAGGCTGGAGTTCATCCCGGGGTTCTGGGGGGGCCTGCAAGTCTGCAGTGAGCCCCTGAAGTTGTTCTGGGCCATCCAGGGCGTGGGTCCGATGTTCAGTAGGCGGCCGAACAAGCGAAGCCTCTGCGCTCGGATGCATATGATGACGTTAGCCTTGCATGCTCCTGCCCAGACAAATTCGCTACAAAACGCAGCGTCACTGGCGCTGGGCCCACAGAGCACAGCGCGGTACATGCGAACAAGATCATCGTTCAAACTGGCAAGCTGCGCGGAGGATAGCGGTGGCCAAGTGCTGGAATTGCACAGTCTACCCGAGATAAGGAGGGGGTCCACCAAGACAATGCCGATGGGCGCGCCAAGATCTGGCCCTCGAGGAACCTTTCTGAGGGTATTCCAGGACCCGGAACAGTTTTGGGGTCGATGGGCCAACTCAGGGGCCATGCTGCGCGCGCCGTCTAATACCGCGCCCAAGTGGGCGTACTGATGTACGGCGTGTAACACGAATTGCCCACGCAGTGTACTGTTCACCCCTGAGAGGCCGCCCATCTCTCCATGGGGCGAGCTTAGCTTTGTTAGCTCCCGCGCCTCTGAACTGACGGAGCGCTGCTGACTTGCCATTTCCAGCGTGGGGGCGCATGCCTCGCTCGGCAAAAGAGTCAAAGGCGGCGCCGACCAGCGTCGGCGCGATCGAGAGCAAGGTTCGCGCCCGACCCATGAACGCGAACAGCGAACCATCGAAGAAGGTCATATCCATAGAGTGCTCTGTGTCTACTACCCCAGGGTGGGATTCTTCCGAGATGCTGCCGTCGGGGCGCGCTGGGAAGCGAAGCTCGACCCCGAATTCCAAGATGCGGCCATGGACTAATTCCGCGAGGGAACCCATCGCGAAATTTAATAGGAGGCCCCCAAGCTGCCGGCCAGGGCCCGAGCCTACGGCAGGAAAGGCCACGCGCGAGCCCCCAGGGACCACGAACCAGTTTTGGCGATAGGCATCCGCAACCATAGCGCGCAGTCGAGGAGGGGGGCCCAAGACTCCAAACAAAGAGCCCCCATGTCGAACGTGCTCTGCGAGGTCCCTGGCAGCGTCGAAAGGTAGCGCAGCCATGCGGGGCGCGTGGGCGATAGCCTCCATCGATTCAGAGCAATGCGCACGGAATACCAGCTCGCGCAGGCTCTTGTAACATGCTTGTGCAGCATCGAGCGGCAGAGACAGGGTCGACACCTTGCGTGCTGCGGGTATCTGTTGATAAGCGCGAAGTTCGAGAGCAGCGTAATCGGCCCTTCTTCCCCGTCTACCGCCACACTGACGGGGGCCCGCACAAGGAGGTAGAAATGGAACAACTTGGGCTCGTGACAAAGCCCTGGATCGCTTGCCCAACTGAGACGATCCCAAGATAGACCGATCACATTGTTTGTCCCCGGTGTCCCCTCGCTTGAATGGAGCCCAATAGCACCCGCCCTTCCATTGATTAGGTTCTATCGTGCGAAGGAAGACCTTGGTGATCAGCGGATGCAGCATCACTGAAATGTGTTCAACAGCCTGGCGGCCATGCGGCCAGCGACTTCTTCCGGACCTGCGGCTGCATTGCGAGCTATTGTGCAATCTGTCTCTACATGTGCCAAGCTGGGTATCTGTGATATCGCGCGCCATTCGTGGAAGCCGGCACCAGGCAGGGCAGGCGCATGAGCGTCATGTCATTGAAGGTCTAGTATGGGAACCGCGGTGCCAGCCTCGATGGAGGCAAATTGGCGGGCCCAAGCGTGC